CCTTCCAACCCAAACAATTCTGGGTTTCTATGGACCACCCATGGATACACCTGGCCAGCCCAGAATTTACTGTGTACCCCCACTGCAGAATCCTGGGACACCCCCAAAAATCCATCTCCAGGGCTCGCAGCAACCTGGTCTAGTGGAAGGTGTCTCTGCCCATGGCAGGGGATGRACTGGATGAGCTTCAGGGACCSTTCCAACCCCAACCATTCCACTGGGATACTGCGGGATGCACAGCTTGTGGAACCTCCAGGATAGACACCATCGAGCATTAACTTGCAGCATTACTCTTCCCACGTGCCCCCGGGAGATAGGGATCCCCAGAATACCGGGRTTTCGGGAAGCACTGGAGCAGCTCCGGGGAGTTGCAGCCCTTCCTGGGGAGCACCGTGCCCCGGGAATGCGGGAAGGGGCGAAGGAACCGGGAGGAGCGGGCACTGCTGCAGGAGGGCAACCCCGCCCGCAATGCTGCTGGGAATGCAGTGAGGGTCAGGAATCTGGAAAGCACAAGCAGGGAACTTTCCCGGGAGAGCCCCGGGACGGATCAGGAGGCACCGGGAAGGTCCCGGTGCGGGGCTGAGCGCCGGGAGCCGCGCTGAGGGGCGCGTCGAAGCCCCATTGGCTGAGCCGCCTGTCACTCCGACCGCCGGCCAATAGCGAGCCTCGGAAGGCGGGGCCTACTGCAGGGGCGGCCCGAGAGCGGCGGGGACGGAGCTCCGCCCCTCCCTCCGGTCACGTGAGCCCCTCSCGCCGCGCCGTCACGCGCCCCCTCAGCGCGGACCAATCGGCTGGCGGCGGGGGCGGGACTGAGCGGCGTTTCCAGCCAATAGGGAGCCGCTGTGGGAGGGCGGGCGCGGGAAGCGGGGAAGGCAGCGGCGGGCGCGGCGGGGAAGCGGCGGARCCACGGGGAAGGGACGGGGCCGGGGAGCTGGGGGCACCACCACGGGCCGCCACGGAGAGACCACCGGCGGGGTGCGGAGGGAACCGCCACGGGGCTGGCGGTGAGGCCCGAGCAGATCCAGCTGGGGGGCGTGGCTTGACCCGCAGGCTCCTCTGCTGGTGAAGGGAAGGGGCGTGGCCCCGGCGCGGGGGCGGGGCCCGGGGGCGGCGGGCGCCACCCACGTGCCCACCCGGTCCCGGTGCCGGTGTCGGTGCCATGAGATGTGTCATCGCCGGCGGCAACGTCAAAGGTGAGCGGGGCCTGAGGGGCTGGGAGTGCAGCACGCCCGGGGGGCCCTGCCTCACCCCCACACCCTCTCCTTCCCAGTCCTCGGCCGAGCCGTGCACTCCCTGTCCCGCATCGGCGACGAGCTCTACCTGGAGCCCACCGAGAGCGGGGTAAGGAGCGTCTGCGGGGCTGSATGGGAGCTGGGGGGGCATCTGTGCCCCCCTCCTTCCCTGCAGGCTATGCCAACATTGTGGATGTGTCCCCAGCTGTCCCTCCGTGCCGTCAACTCCTCCCGCTCTGCCTTCGCCTCCTTCCTCTTCGCACCCCTCTTCTTCGAGCTGTATGAGCCGGGCATTGCTGGGCCCGACACAGAGGTCTTCCGATGCAAAGTCCACATGAAGGTGCAGTGCCCTGCCTGAGTCCTCCCAAGCTTCCCGTTGTTCCAGGGAGACCTAGGCAGGTGACAATCCCCTTATTCATCCCCGCAGTCCTTCCTGAGCGTCTTCCGCTCGCTGCCCTCGCTGGAGAAGTCGGTGGGGAAATGCCTCATCCTACTCAAGCCCCGTGCCAGCCGCCTTGTGCTGCAGCTTCACTGCAAGTATGGTGAGTGCTGGTGGGGACACAGCTTRGGGGCGTGACACGGCACAGCGGGGAACACACTGGCACCACATTGTGCCCTGTTGAGCCACTGTCCCCCCTGTCAGGTGTCACCAAGACACACAACCTGGCTTTCCAGGAGTGCGAGCGGCTCCAGGCTGTCTTCGACACCCAGCGCTGCAGCAGCCGCCTCTGCGCCCCGGCACGGTGAGAGGGGACACCGGGGGGTCACACTGGGGTGGGCAGTGGCATGAGGGCAGATGGAAGAGGGACTCCGGCCAGTCCGGCAGGATTTGGGGTGCTCAGCACYATCCTGTGCCCCTCAGGCTGCTGGCAGAGGCCGTGGTCCACTTTCCCCCGACGCTGGCTGAGGTGACACTGGGGACTGGCCCCGGCGGCAAAATCAGCCTGCGGAACTACATGGAGGATGAGGCAGGTGAGTCCTGCAGGATAAGGGAGCCCTTTCCCCACCTTGGGGTGCCCTCCAGCCYCCCACCCACCCCATTCCCACCACCAGAGCCGAGCAAGACGATGGTGACAGAGCTGTGGCTGGCAGAGGATGAGTTCCAGTTGGTGGCTGTGGCCCCAGGCTCCCACATCACTTTCTGCCTCAAGGAGTTCCGGGTGAGTCCCCACCCAAGCCCACCAGCCCTGTGTCACRTCCCAGCCCCTCTYACCGTCCCCTTTGTCCCCAGGGRCTGCTGAGCTTTGCTGAGGCCTCCAACYTGCCCCTCACCATCCACTTTGACGAGCCTGGCAGGTAGGAGTGATCATCGCATTCCCCACTGTGCCAGCTCCGCCCCTGGCACCTCCTCAGCCCCTCTGTGCCCCCAGGCCAGTGGTCTTCACCCTGGATGACACTGTGCTGGAGGTTCACCTCGTGCTGGCCACCCTCTCTGACCTGGAAAGCGACTCCCAGTCCACTTCGACCAATGGGTAGGTCTCAGATGAGCCCTCCAGCTGCCATCAGCAGGGAGCAGTGTRCACATTCCTAATCCTGCTCTGTCCCCCTCAGTGTGTCCCACCTGCCTGTGCCATCAGAAGACTTTGCCGACGATCTCGAGTCCTACATGGCTGCCATAGAAACCAGCGAGGGAGGCTCAGGGGGCCCCCCCAGTCCCACCTTCCCCCAGCCAGCTGACACTGACCCCGAGGAGGAGGAGGAGGAGGAGGAGGAAGGGGGTGTGCCAGGGACCCCCCCACACAAGAAGGTCTGGGATGGGTGTGCCTGGGGGCAGCGGGTGGGTGCAGCCTCTTCCTGACCCCACTTTCTCCCCACAGTTTCGCTCCCTGTTTTTTGGCTCGGTGATGACACCAGGAAGGCCTGGCCCAGCCACCACCCAGGAGGTGCTGGCGGAGGACAGCGATGGAGAATGCTGAGCCCCGAGTCACTGCCACCCCCAGCATCCATCTAACCACCAGGACAGGCACCCCCCAATGACCCATTACAAGTTTATTCCCCAAAAAATCCTCCTGCCCCCCCCCCCCCCTCCCCACTGCCACCCCAGGGCTGGGCTCTGGGCTCCAGGCTCCCCCCTTGCACCAGCACTCCCTGCCCTGGGCCTGGATCTGCTTTGGTGGAGCGTAGTGGGGAGGGGGCAGGATCCTACAAATAAAAAAAACGAGTCGAAAGAAAAGCGACCTGATGCTGGGGCGGGGGGGTGCGGGGCGTGGGCAGCACAGGGGCAGCTCCCAGCTCATTTCTTGGCTTTGGCAGAGTTTCGGGGAGGGGTGACGGGGCGCCCGGCAGGGTTCAGCCCGCTGAACTGCCCGTATTTGCCCTTGTTCTTGTCAGCCGGCTTCAAGATCTGAGGGGGGAAGGGGGAAAGAAATCAGTGAGCTCCTGCCACAGCTCCCCCCTTCCCTGGAGAGTAGATATCCCTGCAGCCCTTCCAGCAGGAATTGGGGGTGTTTATGCCCCCGGGCTTACCTGGAAAGAGCACATGAGCGTCTCATCCACGCTCATCATGGCGCCAGCGTTGTCAAACTCGCCGCAGTAGTTGGGGGCCGAGAAGAGGGTGACCAGCTGGCGCTTGGCGAAGAACTCGTAGCCGTCCTCCACCACCTGGAGGGGGCACGGGGTTGGCAAATATCTACTCCCCCATGGCCAGTATCCACCTTTCCCGGTGAATTCCCAGTCTCCCAGGCCAAATATCCAACCTGCTCTCCCAAGGTGAATACTCCCTTCCCTATGGCAAAGACCAACCACTCAGCACAAACACCCACTGCCCCAGGGCAAATATCCATCTGCAGAGTGATTATCCAACCTCTGCRAGGAACAGCCACATCCAAGGGTGAATATTCATTCCCCCAGGGCAAATATTTCCCCCTCAAGGTAAATACCTCCCCCCTGGGACAAATGTCCAAATCTTGGGGTAAATATCCACATCTCAGGGCAAGCACTCYCAGAATTCCAACCCACACACTCCCTTGATGGGGAAATACTTTGGGTAGAACCATCTGACACCCACTGGGGACCCCAACCCCCTCTCCCAGGTGCGCCCCAATATTTGGGGGGTCCCGGTGGTACCTGGTGCGCCCGGCAGATGAGGTCCAGGTCGTGCTTGTGCAGGAATTTGGCCACCACTTCGGCCCCAAAGGTGAAGGAGACCCCACGGTCATTCTCGCCCCAGCCCTGCACGTCCTTGTCAGGGTCAGACCAGAGSAGGTCACAGAGCAGCCCCTGATCCGGGACATCCGTGGGCCGCATGATCCGCCGGATCTGCTCCATCGACTGCAGGTCAGGGGACAGCCCTGTGGGAAATGGAGACCCCCAGAGCTCAGCACGGAGATCCCACCCCTCCTCCATCCCTCTGGAATCCCTGGGAAGGGCCATTCCCACCTCCGTGGCAGCAGAAGATTTTCTCATCCACAATGGCAGCAATGGGCAAACAATTGAAGCAGTCGGTGAAGGTCTTCCAGAGCTTGATGTTGTATCGTCGCTTGCCTGCAGGGGACACAGGGGACTTGKGCGTGTCCTTGGGGACAGGGTGGGGGTATGGGGGTGGGCAGGAGGGCTCCCCTGGTCATAGGTGGGGTCAGGATGGGACAGCACCGGGACAACACAGGGAAGGAGGGTGCACAGGGATGGCAGAGGGGCTTTGGGGGGCACAGCCCGGGTACTCACACTCGTCATAGAAGCCATAGATGCGGTTGATGCTGGCACACTCGTGGTTGCCCCGCAGCAGGAAGAAGTTCTCGGGGTACTTGATCTTGTAGGCGAGCAGCAGACAGATGGTCTCCAGTGACTGCTTGCCCCGGTCCACATAGTCACCCAAAAACAAGTAATTGCTCTCAGGGGGAAAGCCTCCGTACTCAAAGAGCCTCAGCAAGTCGTAGTACTGCCCGTGGATGTCACCTAAGGGAGGGGACAAAGGCTATGAGTGACCCCACAGCCCACCACGCTACCCCAGTGCTGCCCAGCAGCCACCCAGGCCTCACCGCAGATCTTGAGGGGTGCCTCCAGCTCCAGCAGGATGGGCTGGCTCAGGAAGATCTCCCGGGATTTGAGGCACAGCCCGCGGATCTCGTTCTCCGTCAGCTGCACGTTCTTCCCCGGCCGCGACCCTTGGACTGGTCCCATCACAGAGAACAGGATCAGGGACCCTAAAGTGCTCCAGGACCACAACAGCGTCCTGGAAACCCTGCTCTACCTGCCCCAGCGCCCCTCCCCACATCCTCCCCGCCCTCTGGGCTCAGCTCCAGCCTCCCAGACCCTTCGGGGCACCCCCATACCCTCCAGTCCGTCCTCTGCGGGGTACACACCCTCTGGGGACCCCCGATTTCCTACAGCCCCCCCCTCCGGGGGATACAGACCCCTTCGGGATCCCTTCCATATCCTCCACGTTCTCCAGGCTCATCTCCAGCTTCCCAGACCCCACGGGGACCCACCCCAAAACACTTCCTGGCCCAGACCCCCCCAAACCACCGCGGCCTAACCCGCCCCCGCCCGGCCCAGGCCAGGGACCGCCCCGCGGGGTTGGAGCACGGCCCGGGCCGGCCCCGAGGGGTTCCCCGGGCGGAGGGGGGCTGTCTCGGGGCTCGGCGGGGCGCCGGGGGCCGCTTACCCTCCAGGAGGCGGCTGATGATGGAGTCGAGGTTGAGCTTCTCGGTGTCCGCCATGGCCGCCCGCGCGCCGCCCCGCCCCGCGCGCCCGCCCTGAGAGGCCCCGGAGCGAGCGGCGCCCCCTGCCGGCGCGGAGGACTCATTGCAGCGCCTCCGGAGCGGGGCTGTCCCCGTGTCCCCCTGTCCCCGTGTCCCCCTGTCCCCGTGTCCCCCTGTCCCCGTGTCCCCCTGTCCCCTCAGTCAGGGCATCCCAGCCCTGGAAGGGACGGGAAATAGGGATAACACGGCAGGGGGTGCGACAGCAGGGAGCTGCGGCGGTGTCACAGACAGCCGTGGAGAGGGGACCCGCCCCTCAGGGGGACACCCCGGGAAGGGGGACATCCCGGGCAAGAGAACAGGCTGAGCAGGGGAACATGCCGGGCTACAGATCTGGGACAAGGGGATATAGGGGACCACAGCGACTCGTATCCCGGGCCTGGGAACGAGGAATAGGGTGGGAGAGGGAGGGGAACAACCTCGGGAGAGATAGGAGTTCGCGGGACTGGGAAGGGACAGGAGGGGGCRSGGGGGGACCTGGGATCCAWATCCCGGTTCTRAAGGCACAGGGACAGCTGGGGACACGGGACGACACGAGGAGATGCATGCCTGGCAAAGCCCAGGGATATCCCCACCTGGGGACACTGGGGACACCGTCGASAGCAGCACCAGGCAGTTGCCGGGAGACAGTTGGCACCCTGGGGTCCCCGGGGACACCCCGAAGGCYGGGCTCCCACTGGGGACACGGAGGAGGATGACACATTTGTGSCACCACTCATGGAGGATGGCAGTGYCAGGGATGGGGTCATGCCTGTCCCCTGTTTGTCCCCCTGCCCATACTGGCTGTGCCGTGCCATGCCATGCCACGCCATGCCACTCCCTGTGTCGCATTCCGTGTCGTGTGGGGGGGTCGGGAATAGCTCCCGGGTCTTGCCTCTGCCCTGACATTTCTGCTCCGCGGTGTCAGTTTTACACCTGGCCCTGGGTGACCCCGGGCTGGTCCCGTCCCTTCCCCCGGTCGTTTGTCCCCTACCCACGTCCCCGTCCTGTCCCTGGTCCCTGTCCCTTGTCGCGCTCCCTAACGCGGTCCCTGTAACCCCGCGGTGGCCCCGCCACCCCCGGTCCCCACTGCCATCCTTGTCCTGTCAACCCCCTCGGTGTCCCGGTCCCCCCGGTGCCCCCGGTCCCGCCCCGCCCCGCCCCGCTCGGGCAGGAGACGCCGCCACCGCCACCGCCAGCGCCGGGACCGGAGCGGGCAGAGCCGCTGCTGGGGGCGCGACAGCACCGAGACCGACACCGCCAGACCCGACAGACACCGACACCGCCGCGATCGGAGCGGGCACAGCTCTGCCGGCTGCGACAGCACTGGGACAGACCGACACCGACAGACACCGACACCGGCACCGCCGGTGGGTGCCGGCAGCAGTGAGGGGATGTGGGTGTTTTTGGGGGTGCTGGTGCCGGGGGAGGCGGGAGCAGCGGGATGGGGCTTGGTGGGTGTGTGCTCACCTGCGACAGCGTGCAGGTGACAATGCAGGTGACAGGTGGGTGATRATGTGCGTGACAGGGTGTAGGTGACAGGTGACAGCGGCACGGTGCAGGTTACGGGGTCTGGGTGACAGTGCGGGTGACAGGGTGTGGGTGACAAGATACAGGTGACAGGTAGGTGATTATGTGCATGACGGGCTGTAGGTGACAGATGCAGGTGACAGGGTGCTGGTGACAGTTTGGGTGATGAGTGGGTGACGATGTGTGTGACAGGGTGCTGGTGACAGTGCAAGTGATGGGTGGGTGACGATGTGTGYGACAGGGTGTGGGTGACAGGTGCAGGTGACAGGACTCTGCTGATGGTGCAGGTGACGGTGCGCGATGGGCTGTGGATGACAGAGTGCACGTGACAATTCAGGTGACAGTGAGGGTGGCAGGGTGCAGGGGATGGCACGGATGACAGGGAGCGGGTGACAGGGCGTGCAGGACCCTGCGGCGCGGCAACAGCGCTGGTGGCCCCGTGCCTGCCGCTGGCGGTGACGGTGACGGTGACAGTGACGCCGCGGGCAGCTGGAACTAAGCCGGGGGACGTGCGGGCTGGCAGCTCCGCCACGCTGGGGACAGGGGGACAGGGCGGGGGGGACAGGGGGGAGGATGGGGGGCGTGCCCAGCCTGGGGACACAGGACAGGGGAACAGGAGCAGCCCATCAGGCTGAGCCACCCCCCGAGTCCTGCCGCTGCAGTGTCCCTCGCTAGTGACGGGGACAGGGACACGGACAGAGGTGCCAGCGCCTGGCGCGAGGTGGCAGAGGGGACAATAGGGCTCTGTGTCGCCTAATCCGGGGCACGGGGCCGGGGGTTGGCACCCCGGGGTGGCGCGGGGGGGTGTTTAAAGGCCAGACCGGCCGGTGTCCCCTGTGCCAGGCGTACCCGAGCCCTCGTCCCCTGCGCGCTCTCCAGGCCACGGCTCCCACCCCAAGGTACCGGGTGACACACCTGTCCCAGCTTGGGGACAGCAGGACCCCCTCCTGGCTGGGGATGGAGAGGRACAGGGTGGTCCCCAGGCTGGGGGGAGGGGGGCGCGGACCTTGAGGGACCCCCGTGGCCGGGTTTTCCTTGTGCCCTGCCACCGTGCCGTGTGTCCCCTAACCCTGTCACCGGGTGCCGGGCACTCCTTGGGGACACTGCCTGACAGCTTGGGGACATCCTGGCTGCCAGCGGGCACGCCTCAGCTCTGTGCTCAGCTTCCCAGCTCTGCGGGCACCTGCTGGGAGCGAGGGCACCCGGGGAATGGGGACACCCCTGTCCCTGGGTCTGCACCCCCAGAGCACCTTGCCAGCCCCGGGGCGGGGAGGTGCCCGCAGCTCTGCTGAGCTGGCAYGGGATTACACTAAGCCGGACGTGCTGGGGCCACCAGCGCTGGCACCGAGGAGACAACCTGAGGCCACCGTGACTGGCACCGAGGGGTCAATCTGGGGCCACCAGAGCTGTCAACGAGGGGGCAAGCTGGGGCCACGGGGACTGGCACCGAGGGGTCAGTCTGGGGACACTGGGACTAGGACTGAGGGGACAATATGAGGACACTGGAGCTGTCGCCAACGTGTGCCCCAGCAAGTGTGCCAGGCTCTGGTGGGCACCGCAGGACGGGTGCCCCACGGGAGCTTGGGTTGGGGTTCCCAGCAGGGGCTGGGGGWGCCTGTGGGGTTGGCACTCAAGGAGCCACTCTGACTCTGCCTGTCCTTCTCTTGCAGCCCCTCTGTCACCAGGATGGTGAGTGGCCCCCGGGTGGGGGGTTCCGGGCGGAGGTGGGTGCCCCATCCCGGGATCCCGGCGGTGCCGGGCACTGGCGCGGGGCAGCGGGCAGCGTGGCGAGCTGTGCCCACCCGCCGCGTGACCCCGCGGGGACAAGGGGACGCTTTGTCCGGGAGCTGGCGGCCCCGGCGGCTGGCACTGCCCCGCTGTCCCCGAGGAGGTGGCACCGTGCCCGGCGCCCGCAGCCCCCCACTCCACGGCTGGGCAGCGGAGTGCCCTGTGCCCCTCTGTCCTGTGCCAGCCCCTCCGTGTCTGCCACATGTCCCCATGCCCACCCGGTGTCTGCCCACATGCCAGCTCCATGCCAGACCCGTGACAGCCCCGTGACAACCCCTCAACCCCACGCCAGCCCCACACCGCCCCCTTACCCCCGTGCCAGCCCCGTGCCAGCCCTGTCCCCGCTCCCGCAGCTCTCCACGGCCCAGCCGAGCCCGCAGCGGGTGCCCAGCCCGGAGGAGCAGGAGTGGGAAGGGCCCGAGGCGCTGTGCCCGGGCTGGCTGGAGGACGAGGCCCCCGATGGCGAAGTGCCCGGGGACAGCGGGGACCCCGACAGTGCCACCCACGCCTACGAGCAGCTCCAGAATGCCCTGTGCCAGGAGGGGCTGCCCCCCACGCTGGACTGCTCCACGGAGCCCCGCACGGGTGGGGGACACGGCGGGCATGGTGACAGGCTGGGACACGGGGGTGGCAGGGACTGGGATGGCCACGGGGGAATGGCGCCAGGCTGGGGACATGGGGGTGGCAGGGACAGCTTTGTGGGCTCGATGCCAGGCTGGGGACACGGGGGTGGCAGGGACTGAGGTGGCAATGGGGGGCATGGCGCCAGGCTGGGGACACGGGGGCGGCAGGCACACTGACGTGGGCTCAGTGCCAGCCTGGGAGGGACAAGGGTGGCGATGGGGATATGGTGCCAGGCTAGGGACACAGAGACTTAGGGGTCTCCCAGCCACACTGGGGTGCCAGTGACAGGGTCCTCATCCCGGGGCTGTTAACCCTTCCCTTCCCGGCAGGATTTGGCCCGCTGGACACGACYGTTTGCATCCTGGGCTCCCCCACTGCTTTCCTGCCTGTCCTGCTGGAGGGTGGCACCCGCTGCCCAGGTGGGTGCAGTCCCCTCGTCCCCACCCCGCACGAGACACCTCTGAGCCAACAGCAAAGGTCCTCGCACCCATCTGTCCTGCTCTCGCAGCACGAGGGGACCCCCTGCCTACCCCCCTGTCCCCCCGCAGGTGCCATGGTGCTGTGCCTGTCCCCCGCCTGGGCCAGCCGGGTGCCATCGGAGACGTCCCCGGGCGCCTGGTCCCTGCTGCTCTCCCGGGGCGTCTCCTTCAAGRTGGGGGGGCACAGCGCCCTGGAGACCTTCGTGCCGCCCCGCCGCGCCAACTACGTGACGGGCACCTTCKCGCCGTGGGACCCCGAGGGCGGCTGGGTGGGCGAGCTGGCCCGTGACCTCGACTGCCCCACGGGGGGCTCGGTCCCGCTCGCCCACCGGCTGGAGGACACGCTGGTCACCCGCTGGGTGCTGGCGGCTCACGGCAACCTGCCCGTGCCCCCAACCCTGGCCTTTGTCCTGGGGGCCAGGGGGGACCTGCCCGACAAGCCGGTGGCCCCCGGGGTGAGGCTGGTGCGGCTGCAGGACCCCCAGGGCCAGCAGAGCCTGGTGCAGGAGGAGGTGGGCGCCTTCCTGGGGGGCACTGCCATGGAGCCCTACGAGCAGGTGGGCACGGGAGGGTGCATTGGTGGCATTGGGTGGCACCTGGGGGGGACGGAGAGGGACGGGAGTGCACGCAGTGATGGATGGAGGGGTTTTGGGGTGGCATGGCGTGGTACCGGATGATAGGGTGGTGGGGTGGCACAGGGTGACACCGCGATGCGTTCAGGTGGCGGGGTGGCTGTTAGGGTGGCCCGGGTGGCGCGGGGTGACACGGAGGTGCACGCAGGTGGTGGTGCGGCCGGCGGGGTGGCGGTGGCGGGGGACAGGCACCCGCAGCACCCACAGGAAGGAGGAGGGGGCGGCGGTGGTGCAGGCGGTGGGTGCCCGGCTCCGGGGGCTGACGGAGGAGGACAGCGTCCTGCTGGAGGCCATGGTGCCCACCGCCCGCCTTCCCGTGCCCCCCCCACGTAAGGCCCCCGCCCTCGGGCGCCCACCACCCTGGGAGGGGGGAGGAGAATCCCCCGGGGTCCCGTGGGTCCCTGCAGCTGTGCCGGCCACGTGTCTGTCCTCTGCAGTGGGTGGGGGGTCATTGGGGTGCCCAAAMTACTGGGGTCCCGGGGGAGGGTATGAGGGTCACCCTGGAACCCCGAAGTCCCCTGTGTTAGGGTTGGGGGGCAGTTGGCCACCTTGGAAGCCCACAGACCCTCGGGGAGGGGTGGAGAAGGTCATGCTGTACCCCCAAGGTCCCCTGTGGTAGCGGGGAAAGCCACCCTGGACCCCCACAGTCCCCTGGGTCAGGGCAGGGTGTTGGGGTGACCCCATTTGACTCCTGACAGTTCCCGTGGGGCTGGGGATGACAATTGCCACGCTGCACCCCACACTCCCTGGGGCTGGGGTTGGCTGGGTCCACCGCGGTGCCACGGGGGGTCCCAAAAACSCCTGGAGGAGGGGAGGGGGGTCGGGCAGGGCCGCCCCGTCCCCGCGTGGTGGCCGTGCCTGCCCTGTCCCTTGCCCCCCAGGCAGCCCAGCCCCGCGGCTGCCCATGGCCCTGCGCATCTGCACCCTCGTCTGCAGGTCCTGGGGGGACCGGCCCCAGCTCTGCCAGGTACGGCGGGTCTCCACACCCTGATGGCTCTGTGTGTCCCCAACCCATGCTGGCCGTCCATGTCCCCGTGCCCTGGTGGCCCTGGGTGTCCCTAAGCTTGGTGGCCATCACGTCCCATGCCTTGGGTCAATGTGTGACCCCACGTCCCTGTGCCCTGGTGGCAGCCGCGTCCCCGGGCTACGGGCTGGCAGCCAATGTCTCCATGCCCCGGTGGCAGCCGGTGTCCCCACACCCCCGTGGGTGTCCCCGCAGGTGGCCTGCGCCGTGGGACGCGCGGAAAGCCCGGTGCGTCACGGCGCGGCGCTGCCCCTGGGCCTGGACTCCAGCCTGCAGCAGTTGGGGGTGGTGGCCCCCAGCCAGCGACAGGCGCTGGCCACGCGGCTGCGAGAGGCCACCGAGGCCGCCATGGCCGCCCTCCTGGCCGCCGAGGCCGAGCTGAGCCMGCAGCAGCGCGGTGGCACCCGCGCMCACACCGACATCCTCGGTGAGCACGGCGAGGGGGCGGCGCCGGTCCCCGGGGCCACCCCGCAGTGCTGAGTGCGGTGTCACTGTCACCATCCCCAGGCGTGGACTTCCTGCTGGCGTGCGTGGATGACGCTCTGGAGCTRGTGGCCCTGGCCACCAACAGCCAGCGGTGCCTGGAGACCTGTGTGCTGGCCGAGGCCATCGGGCGCGGCGTGGGCGAGCCCCGCGGGGACCTGCCACGGCTGCTGGCCGAGGCCATGCTGCACCGGGCGCAGTGTCACCTGGTGGAGGGCAAGGACATCCTGCTCATCGGGGCCGGGGGCGTCAGCAAGAGCTTCGTGTGGGAGGCGGCCCGTGACTACGGGCTGAGGGTGAGGAGCTCGGGCTGGCGGGGGATGGATGGCACAGCCGCGGTGCCGGGACCGGCTGTCCCCCGGTGACGCCTCTCTGTGGCGCCAGATCCACCTGGTGGAGTCGGACCCGGAGCACTTCGCGGCGGGGCTGGTGCAGACCTTCCTGCCCTACGACAGCCGGGAGCACCGGCGCGACGAGGAGCACGCRGAGCGGGTGCTGGAGCTGCTGCGCTCCCGGGGGCTGCGGCCGCACGCCTGCCTCTCCTACTGGGACGACTGCGTGGTCCTGGCCGCCCTGGTGTGCCAGGGGCTGGGGCTCCGCGGCCCCGCGCCCGCCGCCGTGCGGGTGGCCAAGCAGAAGAGCAGCACGCACCGGCACCTGCAGCGCTGCCGCCGCGGCCGCCCCTCGCCCGCCGCCTTCGCCGTGCCCTGCCGCCGCCTGCGGAGCCACGGCGACGTGGAGCGGGCTGCGGGCGCCGTGCCCTTCCCCGCCGTGGCCAAGCTGGAGTTCGGCGCGGGCGGCGTGGGCGTGCGGCTGGTGGAGAACGCCGGGCAGTGCCACGCTCACGCCGCGCGGCTCTGGAGGGACCTGCGCGACGACGCCGACCACCCGGGCATCGGGCTGGGCTGGGGCAACGCCATGCTGCTGATGGAGTACGTGCCGGGCACCGAGCACGACGTGGACCTGGTGGTGTTCGAGGGGCGCCTGCTGGGCGCGTGGGTGTCGGACAACGGCCCCACGCGTGTCCCCGCCTTCCTGGAGACGGCGGCATGCCTGCCCTCCTGCCTGCCCGCCGACCGGCAGGCGCAGCTGGTGCGGGCGGCGCTGGAATGCTGCCGGGCGTGCGGGCTGCGCGACGGCGTCTTCAACGTGGAGCTCAAGCTGGGGCCGGCGGGGCCGCGCCTGCTGGAGATCAACCCCCGCATGGGGGGCTTCTACCTGCGCGACTGGATCCGCGAGGTCTACGGCCCCGACCTGCTGCTGGCCGCCGTGCTGGTGGCGCTCGGGGTGCCGCCGGTGCTGCCCGCTCGCCCCGCGCCCCGCACGCACCTGGCCGGGGTGATGTGCCTGGGATCGGAGCACGGCGAGACCCTGGCGGGCGGCGGGGGGATGGAGGCTCTGCGGGAGCTGCACGGCCGGGGKCTCGTCCGCCTCAACCGGCTCTTCGAGGAGCCCGAGGGGGCCGGGGAGTACGAGGAGCCGCTGCTGAGCGTGGCGTGCAACGGGGCCACGCTGGCCGAGGCCGGCGAGCGCCTGCTGGGGCTCTGCCAGGGGCTGGGCATCGACTCCCCGCGATATCCCGTGGAGCATTTCTTGTCCCACTTCAAATAGCGCCGGGCAGGCAGCGGGGATAGCGGGGGAATGGGTGTCCCGGCACCTCCTCCCGCCGCCCCGCCGCCCCTCCCCGGCGTCCCCCCGGCACCCCGGCCCGCTGTCCCGCCATCCCGTGGCCTGGCACACCATCTCCTGGCACCCTCCTACCKCCCTGGATCCCCATCACCTGCCATCCCATTGCCTGGCATTCCCCGTCATCCTGGCAGAATTTCCCTGGGATCCCCTCACTCTTCTGGCAGCCCATCCCCTGGCATCCTATCACCCCATCCGCTGGGATCCCTCATTACCCTGTCACCCCATCCCCTGGCATCCTGTCACCCCATCCGCTGGGATCCCCCATTACCCTGTCACCCCATCCCCTGGCATCCTGTCACCCCATCCGCTGGGATCCCTCATTACCCTGTCACTCCATCCCCTGGCATCCTGTCACCCCATTACCCTGTATTACCCTGTCACCCCATCTCCTGGCATCCCCCCCCCCCCTCCTGCTGCCCTATCCCCTGGCATCCTGAAACCCCATCTCCTGGCATCCCCCCATCACCCTGACACTCTCCATGTCCTGGCACCACATCCCCTGGCATCCCCTTCCACCCTGGCACCCCATTCCCTGGCATTTCCCCATTATGGTGGCACCCCATTCCCTGGCATCTCCCCATTACCTCAGCACCTCATCCCCCTCCCCTAGCACCCCATTCCCTGCTTCCCAACATTCCCTCCTTTCTCCCCGTCCCTCCCTGCCCCCAGTGCCCCCTGTCCCTGCAGCTGGGGCTCCACTGTCCCTCCCATGCCCGGGACACACAGGGRGACACTGAACCCTGGCTGTCCTTGTCCCACTACCCATCCCCAGGGTAGGGACACCCAGGACCCACCCCGAGGCACCTGGGCCACCCCACGAGAGCA